CTCCAGAGACAGGTTCGCACGCCTTCAAGGACGGGGACAGGAGCCTTGGGCAGACTCAGAACCTCTCTGGATCCTCTTGATGTACGGGGAGCAGGTCGGGGGCAGGTAAACCACCTGGCAGTGGAAGTGGGGTTTTTCCTGAATGTTCTCGTCTCCCTGGCCATAGAGGAGTGGAGTGAGGAGACATCACTGGGACCCTCCACAAAACGGCAGGAGCGGAGGGGGTGTGGTCCCTGCATGAGCTCGGAGGGCTAGTGCGGGGCAGAGCCCGGATGGAGGCCCTGCGCACCTGCTGGCTGGCCCGCTCTGCCCCTGACCCCGTGCTGCCTCCGTGTGGACCGCCAGACCGGGTTCTGAGCGCAGGAAAGACTCCTCTCTCAACCTAGGGCTTGGAGTTCTTCCCGGAGTGATACATTTTAGCCAGAAAGAGTGCCACATTCTTGGGGCCGGCTCGCCAGCGAGGCCTCCCGTCACTCTTTCCACTGTAAACCCTGCGCCGGCCACACGCGTGTGGCACAAAGGGCGGAGCCTGTCGCGGCCGCCCGGGGGGAGCGCCACCCCGCTCCCTGAGCCCTTGCTGCGGCCTGGGGGCCCCTCACGTGAGGCTCCCTCTTGTGTCGCTGGATCTCTGGGGGAAGGACGCTGCCCGCCCGCGGGGGCTTCCTGGGAACCTCAAGGGCCAGCCGGGAGGGGAGGGGACCGCAGGGCCGCACTCGGAGCAAAGGTGCCAAGTCCCGACAGGACTGAAGTGGGCGCGTGGCCGCCGCTTGGCTTGCGCCCCTCAGCTCATGAACGCCTCCCTGCCTTTTCCCTGGTGCCGACACACACTTCCCAGTGATCAGGAGTGCACGCTGGTGGTGCTCGTTATCCTCTGCTTTGTCTGCCTGTTTCCGGACGTTTCTCTGTTGCAGAGTTTGTCGTGTGCAGAGAAGAATGTGACTTAAACACAGAGGGTCAAGGTGGACACGTCTGGTGGGTGTGGAGCTGTGCTGGCCACATCCCTTCAAGGAGAGACCGGCTGCCCCGGCTCTCAGGGCGCAGGTAGAGGCCGCCCTTCAGCTGCCAGCGTCTTCGGGGATTGCTTGGGCTGCAGGGCCGCCCCGGCCAAGGTCACAGCAACCTGCAGGCGGCCTGTGCGATGGCAGGTCACGGCGGAGGTGGAACGCCCGCATTGGGGCCCAACGACAGAGACGTGCTTCTGAGGGGCGAGCGGGTTCCAGAGCTCCTCGGGAGCAGTCGGGGGCCCCTCCTTGTCCCTCCTATACGTTTCGATCCCCAAAGTCCTGTCCAGCAGCCCGCCCCCCGGAGGAGAGCCCAGCCTGCCTGGCCGACCCTGGGTGGCGTGGCCTTCTGCGGAGCAAGCCGCCGGAAGGTACGGAAATGACACAGTGTTAGACCAGGCTTGCAGAGTCGCTCAGGGTCCTTGCAGCCCCTGACTCTTCTTCTTTCCCATGTTTTGATGCCTCCGTCACGGGGCTGGGAGTTTCACCTTGGTTGTGCACGGCGGCTCTTTCCACCACGAAAACCCCCCTACGGACGGTCTCAAAAAGTATTTCAAAGACGAGGAAGAGACACCAAAAACGGGAAAGAAATGAGGAGAAACAACACAACGGCTATTTGTAAAGCGCTGGCAGTCTTTCAGTCCGGAGCCCAGGCCTCCCGCTCACACCTTCTTTTGGAGAAGAGCATAAAGGCCCAGAAGAGGTGCTGAGGCCAGTTTTGAGGGTGGACGCAGACGTGCGGGCTGCACACACTCCGGGGAGGGGTCAGAATGCGTGGTTCTATTCCCAAAGAAGCGCCTTACTCTGCTCCACTGAGACCCGGGGGTGGGTATCACAGGGTGGGGGGCCTCCCTGCGAGGGCTCACGTACAGCGTCTACACTCCTTCCTCCTTTCTGGAGGCATGATGCCCAGTGGGCCCCTGGATTTGGGAGACCAGGCCTGCCAGATTCAGGCGCAGGATGCCGGCCTGTGCACTGCCCCAGTGCGGTCCATGGTACCCGCTCGGGCTCCCTCTGGATGGCGGACATTCTGTGGGGTTTGCCGAATGTATACTGTTGTGTATCCACCGTGCCTGCAGAACAGTGTCCGCCCCCTAAAAATCTCCCCGTGCTCGCCTGTTTAGTCCTCCGCCCTCCTCCAGCCCTGATCCTTGTACTGGCTCTTCCAGAATGTCACAGAGTGGAGGCTTCTCCATTCTCCTGACCACGCAGGCCATGCCCAGGCTCGTCTGTTCCAGAACGTTCTCTATCAGTGGACCCTCGTGGTTATGCTCCTGTTTATTTCGGGCTGAGAGGAAGCTGGGTTCCTGCATTTGGTAGCAGCCAACCCCTGATCTGCAGAGTGGGATTCTGGGCCAGGAACGCTCTCCAGTCGGTTTGTCCACTCATCTGTTGCCGAATAACTGGGATGTTTCCAGTTTCTAACGATTAGGACGAAAGCTGCTCTGAACGTTCGTCCCGGGACCTTCTGTGGACACACGTTTCTGTTTCTCTTGGGTGAAGGCCTAGCTCTCCTCTCGCGCAGCCACGTTCACTCCCTCGGCAACCGCGTCCGACATGTAGTCTCTCGGGTGGATGTTCATTCACAAGGCTGTGAGTTTTTTTCTTTTTGCGGTCAAGTTCACAGGACGTGAAATTTGCCATTTTAACTTTCTAAGTGCACTGACCTCAAGCACAGCCGCCCCCACCATTGTCTCCAGAACTTTCCATCTCCCCTGACTGAGACGCTGTCCCCATGAGGCACGGACTCCTCGCCCCCCGCCCCACCCCCAGCTCCCACCATCTACACTCTGTCTCTGTGGACGGGACGCCTCTGGGGACCCCCTCGGAGTGGGGTCATGCAGGACGTGTCTTTCCGTGTCTGGCTTCTGTCACTGTGCACAGTGACCTCCGGGTCCGTCCACGTGGTGGCGGGAGGCAGGCCGTCCTTCCTTCGTGAGGCTGGATCACATTCAAGGGTGTGGATGGACACACCGTGGTCGTCCTTCACCTCCTAAGGGACCCTTGTGGCTGCTGTGAACATTCAGATATTTGCACACCCAGAAGTGGGGTTGCTGCATCAGATCGTAATTCTCTGAGTTTTTGAACCGACTTCTACTCTTACACTTTTTGACACACAGTGGATAATTTAGGGGGTACAGAAGAGCACTTGACCGCAAAGTAGATCATTTTTATACAGCTGAATCTATAAATAAATATCTATAAATAAAAGTCCTCTGCCCAGGGATCAGAATCTCTCATTTACAGATTTGTTACTACAAATTCAGCTCTCCACTGTCTGGTCCGAGCTGGGACCACGACTCACTCGGCGTGTCCCCTGGGGTCTCTGGTGACTGGACACGGGACAACAGGCCCGGAGCAGGGCGAGGCGCCCTCCCGCGGGCCACGCGGGACGGGAACCACCCTGAACCGTGGGGACCCGGGCTCACGGTCCTCAAACTGTGCTCCCCAAGCTCTTCTAACAGCGCAGGGGAGAAACTGTCCAAGCTGAAGGCTGCTCCGTGGGGCCGCCTGAGGCCGCAGCCCCATCTGGGGAGCCCCCGCCCTGCGCCCTGAGGCCGGGGGAGGGGATGCAGGCGGGGCAGCCCCTCCCTGGCAGGACTGGGGCCATCCTGCCCCAACCCCCCTCCCCCGCCCCCTGCAGGCGGTGGGCATGGAGAGAAGGACCAGGGAGCCTTCGTACTGGGGAGCAGTTCACTCTGTATTAACAATTCCACACAACACGAAAACACTGCAAAGTGGGTGTGGCACACCTGGACTTTTTTTTTTTAAATCAGAAATAAGAGCCACTGAACATCCACACGGAGAAGGGGCAGAACCTGCTGGAACCACAGATGCTTCTGCGGCCGGAACCGGCCTGTGTGACGTTGGGCAGCGGTTTCCAGGGACAGAGAAGGAAGAGGGTGGGTGTCCGAGCTCTGGCTTCTTTTCCGGAGACTCCTCGGCAGGCTGGCTTTTTGTAGGTGTTCTTGAAGGACGAGCGACCTTTGGTGGCCTCCCCTGGGCCCGGAAGTTGCTCCTGGTCACTCGCCCTCAGGGCAGGCTGGTGGCCTTTTCCTGCCCCCAGAGCTCGGTGGGGCTGGGGCCACGCAGAGAAAGATGAGCTGCCTGGAGGCCCAGCACCCGGACACGGAGAGGGTCAGCCGGGGTCAAAGGGAGAAGGACAGCACATCCCCCGGGACCGAGGTCACCACCCAGTCACTTAATTCTTGGCCTGGGGGACACCTGTGGGGAGGGGTGTGCATTCTAGCTCCTTCCTGGAGTGGGGGAGAGGGGAAAAGGCGCCGCAGCTGCCAGCCCCCGGGGGACACACAGGCAGGCTAAAGAAAGGGAAACCCGGTGTCTCCCATCCCTGCTCTTATTGGGGGGGTGCCCTTAGCTCCCCCCTTGACGTGGCTGAGAGACGCTGGCTCCCCTGGCCCGGGCTGCCACCCCCCAGCTCCCGCAGATGCCCTGCGCACGCACTGCAGGCGTGTTCATGCAGGACACTGGCCTGGGACGCACAGGCCTCCAGGAGTGCGCTGCGGACACAGTGAGTTACTTGAAAAGGAAAAAAGAAGGTTTTTTTTTTCTCAGCTGCAAAGACCCCCGTGGTAGGGCTCCTGGCTGATGGCCACCTCCCTGGGCCCAGGCTGGGACTCCTGGGGCAGGTGTGGCCTGGGGGGGTGGGGGGCAGCCCATCCTCACCCTCTCTGGGCCTAGTTTACTCAGACCCCTAGGTCTCGGGGGCTCTGACCTGAGTTTGAGTTCACTTCGGGGCTGGGGGCGCTGTGGCTGCCAGACTTGGTTCTGCGGTTCAACCGCAGGGACCTCAGCGGGGCTCCTGGGTTTTGCCTCCCCTCTGGCCTCTCTGGGGGGCCGCTGTGGTGGGGCCCCACAGCCAGAGCATCGGACCAGGACAGTGGGGACGCAGGGAAGGTCGGCTCCCGGGATTAAGGCTTCTTGCACAGGCCGCGCCCTGCCCGCCGCCCCCACCCCCAGCCTCTGGGTGGGCCCACGACCTGGCCCCCCCCACCGTGGAGCGGGTTGTGTTCCTCTTGACGCTCTGCAGGGGACAGAGAGAGGCTGGCTCCCTGCCCAGTGAAAAGTGGCCAAGGCTTCCCCATCCAACCGCAGGTGTGGAGGGGCTGGGCTCCCCAAAGCCCCTGGTGCTCCCGGACCTGCCGGAGAGAGCCGGGAGCCGGGGAGCAGGGTCGGGCCTACAGCCCGCACACTTGGGGAGCCCCCCGCCGGCCCGTGCACGCATGCCCCACCCCTCCAAGCCTAGCGCCGGTGGGATCTGGGCCTTGGCACTAGCAGGGGGCTGAGCGGGGCAGGAGCACAGAGGTGGACAGAGGCCCTGGTCTGAGGACTGCCCTGGCACGGGACCGGAGCACGGCTGTGCACTGCGCCCTCCCTGTCCCTCCGGCACCATGAACTGTCCAGGGGGCACCAGAGGCCAAGGGATTAAAGACAAACCACTGTAGGGAAGGGTGAGGAGTCACCCGGGTGAAGCCTCTCACCTCCCAGGCCCTGCGGCTCCTTCTGGTCACCTAACACCTTTCGGCCCCCCAGGCAGGGCGTCCTCAGGCTGCATTTCTGTTTGCAAAATGGCCATGGCGATGCACTAAAGTGGAAAATGACACAACACAATGCAACAACCCGGAAGAGCCAGGTGTGACCACGGCCCACGTCGACTTTCCCTGCTCAAACCAGGCGGAACGCCACTGGCCATTACGGTGACCAGGGCAAACTGCGGAGAATCCGTTTCTGGGATGGGGGGGGGGTCCCAGGAAAGGGCAGGGGGCCACGGCCCAGCTGGGGTGGCGCAGGCCATACAGAGGCCACAGGCATGCCACACAGGAGGGTGACACTCGGCCACGCAGGGTGCCCGTCACAGACAAAGCCCCCTTCCTGGCCCCTAAAATCCCGGGTGCATCTTACACAACGGTCGGCTGCAGGCTCAGCCCCCCAGCTCTGGGCTCGGCCATGTGGAGCAACAATCGTTTAAGTGAAAAGGAGACACGTTTCCAAAGAGGTCCGCCAGGACCTGCCCCCCACCCCCCAATCTTCCTCTGCTTAGGAGAAGGGAAAAAAAAAAGCATGGCAGCCTAGACCTGGCAAGTCTTTGACAAACGGCCCATCGGGGGACAACGGCCGCTGCCCAGGGCGCCCGGGCAGCGACACGTCCTCCTTCGCTTCTCCGGGCGCAGCGCGGCTCTGGACCGCTGCCCACGCGGCAACCCTGAGTTTCCGAAAATCGCTACCACGTCACTTGGGACCTTCTGCTACTTCTGGAGGCGGCCGCGGCCCCAGCGCCGTCTTCTGGGCGGGCCCGCGGATCCATCCACACTCAGAGGACGCGGTTCCCCCCATCCGTGGTGGCAGCGGCCCGCGTTCCTTTCGGAACCGGAGGTTTTGGGCATGAGGGGTGTCACCGGAGAGCGCAGTGTGGCCGCCCCGGCGGAGGGACAGAGGCAGGAGCACACGGGGGACGGCGCTACAGGATGATACAGGGCTTCTTGTCCTTAAAGGGGTTTTCGGACGCGGGGACTCCGACCAGCAGGGGGTCGTTCCGGGCGTGCTGCTCGCAGTAGCTCATGAGTTCCGACGAGGCTTTGGACACCTGCGCGCGGACACAAGAACGGGGGAGGGGAGGTCAGACGACGGCCACGGCCACGGCCACGGCCACTGCTGCCGCGGCGGGAGCAAGCCGGGCGCACCCGCAGCTGAGCGGACGCACACACGTGTCCACCGCGCATGCGCAAGTCCCTCGGCCGCGAGCAGGAGCGAGGCGCCCCCACCCGCCGCCCGCAGACGGACCCTGAACACACGACGCTCAGGGAGGGAACCAGACACGGGAGGCCACGCGGGTGTGAGTCCACATGTGTGATGCGTCCAGAACAGGCTCCTCCCCGAACGGGAAAGGGCTCGTGGGGGCTGGGGGAGGGGGTGACAACTGATGAAGGTGGGATTACTTTTTTGGTGTGATGGACTGTTCTGGAACCAGACAAAAGTGGTGGTTGCACAACTCTGTGAATGTGTGATCACTAATGGTAGGTTTTATGTTATGTGTGTTTTACCACAATTTAAAAAAGATTAAGGAAGGGACTGGGTCTCCATCGGCAGGAGCTGCCCCGAGTTTGGTCAAAAGGTCAGGGAGAGACGGAAGCCTCTTAAGGATTCAGTCCAAGACGGGGCGGCTCAGGAAGAGCCTGTTCACGTCGGAGGGGCCACCATGTAGGCTCTTCCACATTTCATCTCCAGGCAGCCCGAGCCGGCTGGGGCCCAGTGACCTGGGCTGACACTTGGGGCCACCTGCATCAGGATCCCCAAAAGAGGAGGGGGGGAGATGGAGGGAGGGGCCACCCAGCCCCTGGGGAGCTACTGTGGGGAACGGGGTGCTCCATGTCGCGGGGGCGGTGCCACCCCACTCTGCTCACCGGGGCATGGCTGGGGTCTGGGCACTGGGTGGAGGGGTCCTGGGTCTCTTCCCTGCTGCGGGAACAGCTCAGCCCCCTGCCTTCCCACCTGCAAGGTGAGGAAGGAGCAGCCATGTGGGTGAGTGAGTGAGACCCGGCAGGGGTGAGGGAGGCTTTGAGAGCTCTCCTCAGGTCTGCGCTCAGGGGTGGTGCCTCTCTACCTGGAGCCCGCACCGCGAAAGCCAAGGCCGCCCGACCTTGTTCCCTGTGCTGCCGGGTCTGCAGGCCGGCCTCCGGGTCCACCGCGGGGACACTGCGACCCACACACAGTGACGACTGCCCTTGTCCTGAGCATGCTGGCTGCTCCCAGGCCACTGCCTTGGATGAGTCGATGGAGCGTGGTTTCTGGAGTTGTATTTGGAAAGCAACTCTTGGAAACGACCAGAATAGCCCCTGGACCCTGGAAATAACTGATGTTGTGGCCTCCGGCATGTCCCCCCCCACCCCACCCCCGGCGTCCGCAGGGAGGCTCTGCCCCCAGTGCCCGGGCTGCCCTCACGCTGGCCCCTGGCTTTTCAGGCGTGCCAACGGTCAAGGTTCTGGCCGCAGATTTGGGGACACAAAGCCTCAGGAGGGACGGGGAGGGAGGGAATGGGGAATTTGGGGGGGAGGGGCGGCCCGGCTGAACATCAAACAGGCTGGTGAATCACTCTCTCTTGCCAGGGCTGCGGCTGCACCGGCTCACCAGAGTGAAGCCACTTTGACTGAGGCTTTCTCTTTTTTCAGCCCGAATGAATGCTTTGAATGCTCAGGGTTCTGGAATATTCAGACACCGCGGGGGAGGCCCCCTCAACCTGGAGGGCTGGAGCAGCCCCGCCTTCCCACCCGACACTGCTGCCCACATCCTTCTGCCAAGGGATGTCAGTCAGGTGTGAGTCGGTCTGCAGGAGCCTGTCTGCCATCAGGGACCAGGGAATGGCGGGTGCTCAGGAAATCAAGGTCTGAACAGATCCATGGGGTTGACGTTTGATTTTATATGTCCACTTGGCCAGGCCACGGTATCTGAGTATTTGGCCAAACACCAGTCTAGATGTCACTGGGAAGGCCATTTTTAACTGAGATTAACATTTAAATTGGTTGACTCTGAGTAGAGCAGATGACCTTCTAAATGCGGGTGGGCCACATGAAATCAGTTGAAGGCCTTGAGAGACCAGGAATTGTGCCTCCAGGAGGCCTTGGGGACTTGAGCTGTGGCGTCAGCTCTGCCCTGGGTCTCCAGTCTGCCCTGCGGATTCGCCGGCCTCCATGGTCCTGTGAGCCAATTCCTTACAATACTTCTTGTTCCCTCTATAGACGCCCTATTGGCTCTTTCTCTGGACACCCTGACTGGCCCAGGGGGCGGTCGGAGCAGGCCCGATGCAGACAGGAACACCCGGGTCTTCTGCAGGGAGACTCTTGGTCCCTCGCCAGCTGGGCCCTGGGGCAGGAGACCCTGTGGAGGTGCCTCAACGTCCTTTGCAAAGTGGCCATGGGTTTGATGAGCAGGTGACTTTGAAAAGCGTCAGGCTCCTTCTTCATTCAAGAGGCCACGACTGCACCGCTGGCCCCTGCCCTGCTTACGGGAGAAATCTGTGAGCCCTGGACATCGTCCCCAGTCCCCTTATGGACTTAAAATTCATCTACGTTAAACACAACGTGTCCACCGCGCACGCGCACATCCCTCGGCCGCGAGCAGGAGCGCGGCGCCCTCACCGGCCGCCCCGGGGACGGACCCTGAACACATGACGCTCAGGAGGGGAACCAGACAGGGGAGGCCACGCGGGGTGTGAGTCCACATGCGTGACACGTCCAGAGCAGGCTCCTCCACGGACGGGAAGGGGCTCGTGGGAGCCGGGGGCTGGGGGGGGGTGGAGGTAACAGCTGATAGTGACAGGATTTCCCTTTGGCCTGATGGAATGTTCTGGAATGATGCTTGCACAATTCTGTGAATGTACTAAAAGCTACTAAACTGTCAGTGCCCTTTAAAAGAAACCATTTACCTCTTGTTATGCAAATTATTCGGAAAAAGAACAAGTCTGAACGGGGAGCTGCAGGCCGGGCTCCAGTGTGCTCTGATTTGGGTCTCTGGTCCCTGACGGGCTAAGTGTCTGCACAGGGACTGCTTGTCCCTTTTCTTTTTTTAGTATAAGAAACAAACACACATTTCCAAAAATTCACACGACACAGAAGTGAAGAAAGTAGACGGCCAAGGGCCCTGGGTCGGGCCATCTCTGGACCACGTCTCTACCTTCTGTGTGTGCCAGGGAGCCAGACAGAGCCCCACGGCAAGTGCTGCCTCTGGCGGCCTGGGGCTCTCCGGGGAAGGACCCTGAGGGCTGGGGGCAGGCTCAGTCCAGCTTCTGTCCCACAGCGCTGACAAGGCTCTGCGGCACGTGGGACGCCCACAACAGCCCACGACACAGGTTCTGTGTCAGCTGTGTCTTCCCATTGAGGATCTGAGGCTCAGAGAGGTTAGTGAGCCGCCCAAGGTCACACAGCGAGGGGCACAGTTGGAATATTGCCCCTGCTCTCAAACCAGGCCTCCTTGAGGGAGCCTCCTCCCTTCTCAGCCCACCCGCCCGCCCACCAGGCTCACCTTGATGCGCTCGATCCCGGCCTCGATGCGGAGCTGTTCCACCAGCTTCCGGGCCTGGGCTATGTTGTTAGTGGCTGACATTGTCTGCCATCAGCTCCGGGCCCCTGTCATCCAGAGAGCTGCAGGGGGAAGCAGACAGGATGTGAACTGGCTGCTGAGGGCCCAGGGGACGGAGAGGCAGGACGCCTCTTCCGGAAGCCTCCCGGCCACCAGGTGCCCCCAACCTGAGCGTGGCGGCTGTGTGCCAGGGCCAGGGTGGGGGTGGTGGGAAGACTCGTGGAGCCATCTCCCACAGTCCCCTCTGGGCTGCTTGGGGGAAAGTGCTCCCTGGTTATGACCACCCAGGATCTCAGGACGGCTCACCAGGCCACAGAGTTGACTTGTGGTTGGCTTGGAATGAGGGCCTCAGGGGACGCTTTCTCTGATCCCTGCCCCACTCCGCCCCCCCCCCCCCCCCCCCCCCCCCCCCCCCCCCCCGGCACCACTGACCCTGGGCAGGATCACTCTCCAGGAGCATCCTGGGCACATCCCCAGCCCCCACCCTTCGATGCCAAGATGTCCCAGTGGTGACGGTCACAAATGTGCCCAGACATGGCCTGAGTCCCTGAGGGGGGCCAGAGTCGTCTGGGTGAGACCCTGGCTCTGGACCAAGGTGGGTCACCTGGGCAGCACCTCTGTGTGGTAGGTCCCGGCTCTGGCATCCCTTCCTTTGTCCATGTGCTCATCTGCCCCACAGACAGCCCCAGGGGGCCCCACCACGCACCAGGCACTGCCCTGAGGACCAGGCTAAGGGCACAGTGCGCAGGGGGCGGCTGTCAGTGCCCGGTTCTGGCTTCCCACCCCAGGCCCGCTGTCCCTGGGACACAGCCACGCAGTGTGACCTGGGCCCTCACAGGAGGCTTCCCGGGATTCTCAGCAGGAGCGAGAAGTGCCGCCCCCCCCCCCCCCGCTTCTGGACCAGGAGAGCTTCTGGGGCAGGAAGGGGGTGCAGGGAGCCCACTGCTTTTGCCAGGTTTTCCAGAGCTTTCTGATGTGCTGAGTGGTTGGGACAAATGACCACAGACTGGGGTATGGGAAAGAGCAGGCGTTTGTTCTCCCACATTCTGGAGGCCAGATGTCAGAGACCCAGGTGGGGCAGGGCTGCGCTCGGCCCAGAGGGTCCAGGGAGCGTCCTTCCTGCCTCTTCCCGTGGCTGGTCCGCCAGAAGTCCCTGGCGTGGCCACATCACAGTCTCTGCCGTGTCCTCAGGTGGCCTTCTTAACTAATTGCATCTACAAAGACCCTATTTCTGCATAAGTTTCCACGCTGAGGATCTGGTGGACAGGAATTGGGGGGGGCTCTATTCACCCCCTGTAGTGTCTTTGAGTGTGGATGGTGTGCTCATAGCAGACCATTTAGCACGGGTAAGTGATTAACCCTCTTCCCGAATCCCAGGTAGCCCTTGGGCTAATTCTCCCAGGACCACTGCCCAGTTAAGGGAGGGGGGTATTTGCTGCTTTTATTGACAGATAAGGCCTTGCTTGCTTCCCCCACACCTTCAGGACATGGGTGTTCAGGGCTGGTCAGAGGGGCTCCCCACCAGCTCGCCCACGGAGACCAATCCTTTATTGTGCCAATGATTCCTGCTTTGCTCTTGTTTGGGGGGGGTGACCTCTTTTCTTTCAGAAACTATTTTTATTAATGTATTTTTAATTATATTAAAATTTTTGAGGTGCCTGTAGGTTCACATGCAGTGGTAGGAAATAACGGAGCATGCGTACCCTCTGCCCGGTTTCTCCTCTGGAAACATCTTGCAAAATCGCAGGCAGCATCACAACCGGGACGCTGATGCGCATGTGCCCCCCCCACCCCCCCGGCGGCCGCAGATTTCGTTTTCCTCCTCCAAGCTGCCTTCATTTCAGGAACATTGTACGTGTGGAACCACAGGGCACATGACCTTTCGGGATGGCCTTTTCCCCCACTGCGCCGAATCCTGCGGAGATGCATCCAGCCGCTGCCAGTGCCTCGAGGTCACGGCCGAGGGCGGCCCCGCGAGGAGCGGCCCCAGCTCGGCAGTGCGCTTCCTGATTCCCGTTTTTGGCCATCACGCGTAGGCTGCCACAACGGCGTGCAGATATTTGTGCAGACACAGGTCCTTATTTCTCTGAGATACATGCGAAGGGTGTAATTTGCATGTTCAATTTTTAAGGAAAGTGCCAAGCTGTTTTCCAGAGCGGCTGCACCGTTTTACATCCGCACCAGCAGTGTAGGGGTGGTGGTAATTTATTCTTACAATTCGGCTGTGCACGTTTCTTCCCGTTCCTTACGGCAGTGAAAATTCTACTTTTCCCACAACCTTCATTTAGTGAGCTCTAGATTCATGTTTCTAATGGGCGATGCTGCCCCCAGGGGACACGGGGCTGTGTCTGTAGTCATCATGACTGGGGGAATCCTGGCACCGAGGGAGTGGGGTGGAGGACCCCGCCTCAGCCCCCACAGCGCCCAGGACCCCCCCCCCAAATGACCCGGCAGGTGTCTGCAGCATCCAGGCTGGGGAAGCTCCCAGGAGGCCCCGTCTGGTGGGGAGGCTGGGAAGATACTGGCCAGGGAGCAGAAGTTGAGCCAGATAGCCGCAGACGAGTAAAGGCAGACATGATTTTCAAAACATTTCCTACCTAGCAATAATAATAATAATAAAAAGAGGAGAGTTGACACAGCACTTCAGGCAGATCTGCAGGTAGTGATGTTGACTGACAGAAGCCAGTCCCGGAAGGTTATATGGTGTGTGGTTCCAGTTATACACCATTTTTGAGAAGACAAAATTGCAGGCAGGATGGGGGATAAGTTCATGGTTGCTGGGGTTGGGGGTGGAGGCCTTGGTGGGAGGGGCTCCTCGTGGCACTGGGAACGTGGACTATCTTGAGGATGGCAGTGGGTTCACAGCCCTGCACATGTGAAAACCTTGCACAGAATGTCACACACACACACACACACGTAAAACTGCAGCCATGGCATAAGGTAGGTGTAGGTGGGCTGTACTGGAGTCAATACCCTGGCCATGCTATTGGTCAGACTTCCACAAAACATTACCGTTGGGGAAAATAGTGATGATACATGAATTTCTCTCTGATTTGTTATAACTGCACATGAATCCACGGTGACTTCCATAGAAGTCTCAATTAGGGGGAAAAAAAACCCCGTCCATCCTGCCTGGCTCCCCGTCCCTTCCGGCAGACATCCAGCTCCGCTTTGGGTCAGAAAAGGCCTGAGTGTGTCTGTTCTGGGAGCACAGAGCCCACGTGTGGGTTTCCGGAGGGCTCTGATTCAGCAGAGAGCTTCAAAGCAGCCACAAAACATCCAACTCAGGGAAAACTGCCCTTGGTTGGGCTTAAAAATACCTAAATTACTCAGCGCTAAATATAGATGCAAACGGAGAACAAACGGGCTGGCCCCATGGCCTGTTTTCCTTGGAAGGCCGGGAAGTGCTCAGCGCCCACACTCAGAAGTGTCCGCCAGGACACTCGGACCCCCGCACCGCGTGGCCACCAACTGTGGCCTCCCTCCAGAGCATGAAGTCACTGAGTGGCGGGCTGTCTGTTCCAGGCACCGTGTCCCGAGAGGCTCCATCGTTATGACTCAGAGACGGGTGCACTGGGTGTGTGTGTGTGCGTGCATGTGAGTGCATGTGCACATGCGTGCACTTGTGTGCAGGAGTGAGCGAGCATTCGGTGCCCTTGTATGCGTGTGTGTATATATGCATGAGTGCACATCTGTGCATAGATGTGTGTGTGTGCGTGTGCACTAGCATGTGTATGTGGGTGTGAGCACTGTGTACTTACGTGAGTATACGTGTGCATGTCTGTGCATAGATGTGTGTGCGTGCATGTGCACTAGCATGTGTATGTGGGTGTGAGCACTGTGTACTTATGTGAGTATATGTGTGCACATCTGTATGTTACAATGTGCATCTGTCTGAGTAGATGTGTTCCTACGCGTGTATAGCAGTGTGTGTGTGTACCACACCCGCATGTGTACACACAAATGTGAGTGTGTGTGTGTGAGCGTGCTGAGGCCCTGGGCCCAGACACCCTGTCACCGCCAGCCCGTGTGCCAGTCTTCAGCCTCATCCTGGCTGGTGTCACAGCCCGTCACTGACTCATGGCCCAGCTGTGGCCCCAGAAGACCAGGCAGCGGTGCTGAGTCAGCCCAGGGAACATTCCTCACCAGTCGCTGCTCCGCAGGAAGCACGTGATGGCGCCAGGCGCCCAACCTGGCCAGACCTGCCTGGGCCTAGCAGAGCCTCATGGGGCCCCGGGAGCCATGGCAGAGCCGTGGTAAGCCGGGGGGCGGGGTGGACAGCCGGTCAAGGTCCTGACTTGCGGTTCAGCCTCTGCTGAGGGCCCAGGGGAACGACGTAGGTGAAGTTCACCTAGAAACAGCCTTAAGGGTTGTCCCCAGGCCCTGCCTGGGATCCGAGTCAAGGGCCAGGAAGCCACGCCAGGTTTGTGGGGGGAGGTTCTGCAGGAGAGTCACGCCAGCGAAGCGTGAAAGGCAGGGACAGTGGAGGCGCCCCACCCCGGGGTATATTGTGAAGTGGAGGTTAGAAAGGGGGGCCAGTCACCCCCAGACAGAACAGGTCTGACCTTCCACACGAGGCTCCAGGGGACATTGGATTAGACACCCCTGGGCACAGGCAGCATTTCTTCCTGTGGGCACAAATGTGCAAAATGGGCAAAAATCATGACCTCATCATTTGTGAGTTCAAGCTTGGGGGGAGGGGCAGAGAGGGAGGGAGAGAGAATCCCAAGGAGGCTGTGCGCTGTCAGCACGGAGCTTCGTGTGGGGCTTAAACTCACAAACCTCGAGACCAAGACCTGATGCTAAACTGACTGAGCCGCCCCGGCGCCCACCCTAGAGCCCAAATGTCCACAGATGAATGGATAAAGATGTGGCTTATAGATACAATGGAGTAGTATGAAGGGATCCAAAGCAATGAGATCTTGCCATTTGCAACAATTTGCAACAACTTGGAAGTAGAGGATATTATGCTAAGCAAAATCAGTCAGAGAAAGACAAATATTATGACTTCACTCATGTGCAATTTAAGATACAAAACAGATGAACACAGGGGAAGGGAAGC